CTACTTAATTCTGAGCCTGGGCTTCAAATGAGAATTCTGTCTCCTGATCAGAGAGGTTGGAGTGGGAAGGCAGAGGGAAAAAGATTTTCAAAGAAAGGCTGTGTGGCGTTTCTGCATCTGCAGTTTACATCCGGCTCTGGATCAGGAGCTGAAAGATCTGGGTTTAAGGGCCGGCTCTACCATTAGCCAAGTGTGAACCTGGCCCAAGTTTCTGGTCTATAAGGAGCTTAAGCCCCTGCTGTGCTGAGGGTGATTTTTCAGAGCCGAATTAAGCAAATGGTTACGAAAGAAATTCAAAACCACTCTCCTGGCTGTGGGGCCTTGTGCCTCTAATACTGTATTGTGTGTTGTACAAGAGCACGCTTTCTAAAAACAGGTGCCCAGATAGTGATATCACAGCTGTGGGGACGCTCAGGAAACTTTGACAGGAGTCCCTGCTGTACACCCATGAGCTGTGAAAAGGAATTCATTTTACCCATTAGAGCCTCGGATACTTTATTGGGAAAATGGCCTTGATACTATTAATCTCACAGGGTCATTGTGACGTTTAAGTGGAATGTCTGTCAAGTGTGTTATTTTACCATCAAACATGTATATACCCCCAGGCCCAGCAATTCTGCTCCCGGGAGAAACTCACATGTGCACCAGGAGACATAGACTGGAATGTTCATAGTAGTACTGTTTGGAATGGCAAAAACCTGAAATGACCCAGATGCCTTTCAAGGAGAGAGGAGATGAATCAGATATGGCATATCACACGATGGACTACAATACAGCCATTAAAATGAATGAACTAGGACTTCCCTGGCTGTCCAGTGGTTAAGACTGCACGCTTCCACTGCAGGGGGCGCAGGTTCAATCCCTGGTCAGGGAACTAAGATCCCGCATACTGTGTGGCATGGTCAAAAAAAAAAAAAAAAAGAATGAACTAATGTGATATGGGAAAAAAGAATGAATCTTAGCAAAATAACATTAAATGAAAATTAATATTAAGTGAATATGTGTTCACCTAATATGAAAAATAAGAGTAAATCTTTGCAAAAAAAATAGTAAGTGAAACAATTTTTCACTTAATACTAAGTGAAAAAAAAAATCAGGCCTCCAGGAATCATATATAGCACAAGTCCCTTTTTTTAAAGGTTGAAATAACTAAAAACAGTATTTATTTTAGGAATATACTGAATACATATAGATACAATAAAACTATGTAAAATGAGAAGCCAGGGCATGATGAACACAGGGAATCAAGATGGTGGTTTCTGAGCGGGAGAGGTGGGTGGATGGGTGCGCGGGGCATGTGATTAGATGTAGGATATGGTCAAGATCCTCCTTTATGATTTAAGTGGTGGCTACTTAGATCCTTGCTGTATTATTACAAAAGTACCTAATTTAATACCAACCAACTAAAAGGAGGCCGTGCAGAAACCAATGATGAGAATACATCATGAGCCAAAGATATGATTAATCCAATTCTGAGTTCCCAAAGTCCCTGAAGAGTATGCCGCAAATCGTGACACATGTTGGGTGTTCTCAGTATTGATCAGTCAGCTGTCTGGGTCAGCCTGCTGGTAGTGCTTCTTTTGTATTTGAATGATTAAATGTTTAAAGTTTCCTCTGGCCCATGAAGGTTGAGCTTGGAGAGCTGTGATCTTCCATCTGTGGGTAAGACATCCGGGGGGGCCACAGGCGGAGGAATGGATCGGCCTAGGGGGAGGGGTCATTAAGTCAAAGGTGGGAGGTAAAAGGCGTGGGAGACACACTGGCTTCCTGCTTGGTTAAGTGAGGGCTTCTGGGGAAACTTGTCCTCTTCATCCATGGAGCAGAAGATGCTAAAGCTAAAATGGGCAACCTCTATGCTTCTCACGTAACCTGGGCCACAGCTAGCTCCCGTTAACCTGAAGGAGCCTGGCCAGGGTCACCATGGTGAGACGGTTGCAAGCCTGAGTGCCTTTCTTTATTCTTGAAACATTTCCTGGGGCCTTGGGCTCTCAGTATTGTCTAGACACTGGTAACGGAGTCAAGCTCTGTGGGCTGTGCTGAGCTTAATGAGTGAAGATCACATAGGGTTTGGTGGAACCTTCTGGGGCATGTCTCTGCCCTCTGGCTTCTGAGGATCATCAAGGCATAACGGGGCTCCGAGTACTACTCCTTTGCCCCTTCAATTGTCTTTGTCCCCGGCAGGGAACCCTCTGCCCAGCCAGACTGTAGGAGTCAGGCTGAAATGCTGCTCCCCCAGCAGAGGATGATTTAGTGACCGTGGGGCCAATATGCATCCCTGTGTGGGATGCTGTTTCCCTGGCCCGTTTGGGGAAGAGAAGACAGGAAAGGAGCGAGCCTTTATTGAGCACCTGCTGTGTGCCAGGCACTGTGTCCATCTCACCAAATCCTCAGAGTATCCTTATGAGATGTTATTAAAATCTCCCCATCTCATGGGCTTGAACAACTTTCTATTATGGAAATTTTCAAAAATGTTTCTTGAACCCCCATCATCCATTATCCTACTTCAACATTTAACAACTCATGAACAATCTTGTTTTATGCATACCTCCACCTCCTCCTCCTCTCTCTCCTGAATTATTTTGAAGGAAATCTCAGACATAATTTTATCTGTATTTCAATTTGTATAGATAAAAGATAGATTCTTTTTTTTTTTTTT